ACATTCACAAGTGATCTCCATTCAGTACCATGGGTCTGCAGATTTTCCTGCCCATGGCATCCATTCCTTTTAAATCCCTTCATCCTCTTTTCTACTGTCCTTGTCCAGGTTTCCCGAGGTCATCCATTTCTCCCCTTCTATCTACCGTTCATCAGAAAACTGTCCTTGCTAAAGTGTTACAAGGCACTCTGCACAACCGTTCAAGCCATTTCCATCTTCTTACTTTAATAACATTTGCCTGTGATGAACGTATTGTTTTCCTTCCCAGTTCATCATTTATGTTTGGCCCTCATGCAAGCCTGGCCAAACAAGAAGCAATCACCAACTAAACTGGACCACCCTTTAGTCCCATTTCTGCATCCATTGCTTCTTCTCTCTCTGGTCGACTCAAAGCTGCACTTGGCTGGGATAATAACATTTGAAGATGATGGAGTGATTCATACAGCCAAAAGATGGCTACATGATCAAGGTCACTAACAACACAAGAAGAGACTGGGTTAGGAATACCAGCATTCAAGAGAAAGTCAGAATAGGACCATGTCTTGACAGACAAAGAATGCAATGGTTTGTCTAGTGAGAATGCAGCCAGACCAAACTGCATATGAGACTTTTTACAACAGCACATCTGGGAGGAAAAATGACGCTGTGCATAACTTTCTGACCCCCCCCACATCCCCCCCCCCCCCCCCCCCCCCCCCCCCCCCCCCCCAAGTTATCCCAAATCTGTTAACCAGCTGAAACACAAAAACCACACCTGCACTGACTCCAACAGCCCCCCCCCCCAACCCCCACAATTTTCCTAGAATGAACATCTACACAAAGGACCAAGCCACATGGAGACAGGCTCAGCCAGTGAGACCACATATACAATGTAAATTATATTTTCACGATTTCTGTAACCACATTTGCACCTGAAACAGGAACCGTCCAGAACACACTATGTATATTGGCTCTGCAGCTTCAAGTACTGAAAATAGATGAGAAAACATTTGTTGATATCTGTGTTAATGCCACTGCTTGACTGTATCTTCTTCTTCTTCTTGGCATTCACTGGCTGTAGAGCCCGGTGGAAGGTTCTGGTTATTGATCCACCTGTAGACTTTAGTCTTGTTTCAGACACTGTGTGACATGTGCATGTTTCACAGATTTGGCTTATTTGTATGCAGACTGCTGGTTCCTCTCAGGCAGATGCCCCCCAATCAGTCAACTCCTATGACATATTTGTTGGGAAGGCGGTGGCTCTATTCTGAGCCCACACAGGGATTACAGACATTCTACGTCGACAATGAGTGACCACACTGCTCATAGTGGTTACAATTAGCCTCCAGACACTTTTGTGGCATACTACAACCTCCCTGGGAAGTAAAGGCGGCCGGCATGACGATGACCATATCACCCACCAAGTGCCGATTGGTCTAGCCCTATATGCCCAAAGGCGTGGAAAAGGGTCCTTTACTTACTTTATCTACTATTTGTTGTTGGTTTCTGGGTCTAAGGTGTTGCAGATGTGCTTCGTAATTCCAGGGTCTTCTTCTTCTTCTTCTTCTTCTCTTCCACCTTGTACCTCATTGAAGTGTCGGGGGGAGATGTAATGTTCGTTGATGCGCTCTGTCAAGAGCACTATTAAGACTCATGTTCATTTCTGTAAGGCTGTTCTTAATGCCATCACTCCATCTTTTCCGAGGTCTTCCACTCGCTTTATACCCGTTGTAACGTTTTAGTGTGGCTCGCTGTGGCAGATAGTATCAGGGCATTCTTGTTAGGTGTCCAAACCATTTCATTTGTTGTTCTTTGATGACCTGTAAGACTGGCTTTATACCTAGCATTCGTCTGATTTCATGATTTTGTATTCTGTCTTTCCTTGAAACTCCTGCAGCTCTTCTAAGGCATTTCATCTCTGTTGTCACAATTTTACGTTCATTGGAGGATGTAAGTGTCCACGTTTGGCACTGATAGCATAGTATTGGCCAAAAAATAGTTCTGATAAGATTCACTTTAGTACTCTGAGGTATCTGCTTGTGTGTCAACAGGGGAGATAGTTGACCCATTACTTGATTAGCTTTGGCACATCTGGAGCTAATTTCTCTGTCCAGTTTTCCGTCTGAAGTAAAAATTGCTCCCAAATACTTAAATTCCTCTGTTTGTCTCAGGGTGTTGTTTATTAATTTAATTTCTAAATTGTCTTTATATCTTCCTATCATCATTGTCTCTGTCTTCGTAGTGTTTATTTTCATATTATATTCCTCCCCTTTGTTACTAATTTGATTTAGGTGGTTCTGTAGGCATTCCATATTTTCTGCTATGAGTACATGGTCGTCGGCGAAAAGTAATTCTGTTATATCTTCTCCCTGATTAAAGTCTGTTTCGCTACATATGGCGTCCATGTATGTTATGAAAAGAAGCGGCGATAGTACACAGCCCTGCCGCACACCAGAGTTCACTATAAAAGTTCTAGACAACCCTGCCTTTCATCTTATGCAGCATTCACTACGTGTGTACAGGCTTTTGCAAATATTAATGAGATGATTGCTGATTCCTTTTTTCCCCATACATTCCCACAACATATTCATGTCGACTCTATCGAAGGCTTTTTCTTGGTCTATGAATGTCAACAAACATGTCTTATCATGTTCTATTGCCCTCTCTGATAGTTGTCTCAATGTATAAATGGCATCTGTGCAACTTCTGTTTCGTCGAAAGCCCATCTGTGCTTCTGAAAGTTGATACTCTATCAATGGTCTCAGCCTTTTTTCGATGATCTTAGCATACATTTTCCCAGTGTGACTGAGAAGTGATATTCCTCTGTAATTAGTACATTATCTCTTACTTCCTTTATTTTTCCACAGCGGGACAATGACAGCAGTTTGCCAATCTGATGGTGTTTCTTGATTTTCCCATGCCAACTGAAATATTCTCTTTAACCATATTGCTCCCGTTTCTCCTGCTGCCTTGATGGCCTCAGCTGGTAGATCATCAATACCTGTCGCATTTAGTCTAGACGCGGTTCGAATGACATATTTTACCTCATCCAATAATATACCTGGTTCTAGTTCCTCTGCTGTTAGTTCTGAGTTGTTTTTATGTTCTTCCCTGCTTTTATCTGTTTTATTGCAGCTAAGCAATGCTTCAAAGTAATTACTCCACCTTGCTAAGATTTTAGTAGGTTCTATTAAAGGTTGGCCAACTTCATCATTTATAATTTCTGTTGGGTTGTATTCTTCATTCCTGTTTCTCATGCCTTTGATTTTTTTGTAGTAGTTTTTCACTGCTGATCTTTCTTCTTCAGCTAGCTTGCTTCCAAACTTTTCCCATGAATCTCTTTTTGCTTTTCTGATAGTTCTATTTACTTCTCTTCTAATTTTCCTGTATGTTATGTAATCCTCTTCTGTTCTGCTCCTCAACCAAATGCCGTAAGCTTTCTTTTTACTGCTCACAATACTTCTTATTTCTTCAGACCACCATGTTGAGAGCTTACGCCCTATGTTACCTTTCCTTTTAGTTCCACATATTTCTTGTGCTATTTTCATAGTGGTGTCTCTGAAATTCAACCATTCTGTATTTACCCCAAGAGTGTTTTGTGGAAGCTGTTCATAATTTTCCTGTAATTTTTGCTGAAACGCTCGCCTGTTTTCTTCACACTCTAGTTCTTTCCACTTTATTATGTCACTTTTATTACATTTCTTTTTGGTTTGATAACTTATCTTGATTTTTCTGTCAAGGATCACCATCCTATGATCTGTATCTAAACTCAAGTTTGGTATAACTCTCGCATCTGTAACTTGATGAAAGTCTCTTTTTCTCATCAAGATGTAATCAATCTGACTCTTGGTATCTGGATCATTCCATTTATACCATGTAAAAACTTGTGAAGCTCTATGTTGAAAAAAGGTGTTGGTTATAACAAGGTCATGTTGTGCACATATATCTAACAGTCTTTCGCCATTTTCATTTCTAATGCTGTTGTCTCCATGATTGCCTAGGTATCTTGTGAATGTTCTTCTGTCTCGTCCTGTCTTACCGTTAAAATCACCCATCACGATCAGTTTCTCGTTATTATCTATCTTACAGATTTCATCATCCAGGTTCTCAAAGAAATAATCTAAATCCTCTTCACTGTAATTTCCATTGCACGGAGCATATATCTGAAAAAACACCTCCGAACTATTTCCTACTTCCAGGGTGCTGGGTCTTATCCCAGCTGTGGGCGATCTGGTAGCTTATTGCCTTGCACTGGTTTCAACAGTAGTATCAAGAGCTGACCATCCAGAAAGCAGTCACAAATACTTCACATAACATTGCCTAGCTCAATCACAAACAGCAAACAAATTATGGGGTCGATTCTGTAACTTACTGTAAACGATATAAAACTTAAAAAAAAAAAATTATTAAAGAAGACGCAAAAGAAGAAGAAGAGGAAGAAGAAGAAGGTCTTTAATGCCATCAATCCATCTTCTCTTTTACTTCCTCCACCCAGAATTTCTTGGTTGGCCTCTTGTCTTGTAGTCTGCTGTTCTCATGAGGTATGCTCTAGCTGCTGGCTGATTGTTTATGACAAATGTCTTTTAATGACCTCAATCCATCTTCTCTTTTACTTCCTCCACCCAGGTCTTTCTTGGTTGGCCTCTTGTCTTGTAGTCTGCTGTTACATGAGGTATGCTCTAGCTGCTGGCTGATTGTTTATGACAAATGTCTTTTAATGACATCAATCCATCTTCTCCTTCAGCTTCTTCTTGTTTTCAAATCAGATGGTTTCAGATGTACTACCACTGCTGGCTGCTGTGACTGCATCACCAAACGATGGCATCTTCTCAATGAATGATGCCAGGTGTTGTTCCCAGTCTGTCAGACAGTACAATTTCTCACTCAGTCTCTGATGGTTCAGTTGGCGGCTTTCTTTTTGCATCTTCTCCCATAGGAGTTATTTTTAAGTAGGTTAGCCGTGAAAAAAGTGCAAAAGTTACAGGTAAATTGTACTTGGTGCTTTCTTCAATATAGCAAAAACCATTTTTATACATTGCTCTTTTGCTAAGTGCAAATCTCCATGGCAAAGATGTCAAGCCGTTTGCCTCAAGCTGGAGTCAAGGTTGTGTCGCTCAGTTCAAAACTGCACTTTTTTGAAGCTCCTTGGGGACTTTCACTGAAGCTACGTGTGACACTCTCTACAGACGGCGAGCTGTCCTGCAGACTGGATAAAAATCAGTGCCAATAAGTCATGTCCTTCATCTGGAACCACGGGCTGAGCTGATTTAAGAACTGACATCACAGCACTTAGGGCATTCCCCTAAGCGTTCCTTCCACATCTTCAGCAGCCAGTGATGAGTTCCAATACCAATGGTACCAAAAGCAGTCTAATTATATGTCCGTCTTGCCTCTTCTCCGAGCATCAGATCCCTTCATAGCTCATCGATGCATCAATCTCATCGGACTGTGACGATCAATTTACTCCTTCAAACTGTGCATGTGCTCCCATAAAGTCTTAACCAGGTCTGCCTTATCATCCATTAAGTTGGGCAGAGCCAGCCAATCTATTCCCCCCCCCCCCCCCCCCCCCCCCCGCATTTTCCAACACACTGGCATGCGGCAGAGAAAAGATCCAGACAATGATCTTCCCCTGTGACCAACAAAGACAAGCATTCTGCTCTGCTGCATGAAGAATGCCTGTTTTCACCTTCCGAAGCATGCTTTCTTTAAGTGCATATATTTCTGTCTTTGATGTTCTCTCTATACACAGACACACCTGGCACAAACAATAGGTCTTACCTGTATAACTAAGGAGGGTCCTCGGGCAACAATGTCTGCGGGGATCTGACTAAGTGGGCAGTTCTCTATGGACATGATCTGAAGATTGCCGCAGAAGGCCAGCTCACTGGGCAAGCTGTGCAACTCCTGGTTGTCATTGATATACAAGGATTCCAGCGATTCCAGGGCCCCTGCCATACACAACAGCAAGTCCAACACAAATGTGAGGCAGAGACAAGAAATATGGGACAGAAATTACATAAATTAAAGTCAACATGGGTAGGCATGTATAAGGCATACATGAACAGAGACAAGAAATATGGGACAGAAATTACACAATTAAAGTCAACACAGGTAAGCATGTATAAGGCATACATGAACAGAGACAAGAAATATGGGACAGAAATTACATAAATTAAAGTCAACATGGGTAGGCATGTATAAGGCATACATGAACAGAGACAAGAAATATGGGACAGAAATTACATAATTAAAGTCAACACAGGTAAGCATGTATAAGGCATACATGAACAGAGACAAGAAATATGGGACAGAAATTACATAATCAAAGTCAACACGGGTAAGCATGTATAAGGCATACATGAACAGAGACAAGGACGGACATCATGGGGTAGACCAAGAATAAGATGGAAATGTAACATCAGAGAAACTCTACAAAAGTTCTATGTAAAAGGTCAAGGTAAAGTCAGGAGATGTAAACCAGCATCATTGCACATGGTTATAAACCATAAATGCTCTGCCACCAGTACGGACAGCTTATAAGAATTGTCTGCCTGTGTCGGCGCCCGCACATAACTGTAGCTACAGCGACGTTCCTCCATTTACCCCAGAGAGTCAACTCTGGCACCTATTTCCTAAAAGCTGGGTGAACCCCGAGAGCCGCCCGGTTCCAAACACCGACCGTGGGCGGCAGTGAGTCGCAGCTGGATTTGAAAGCGAGCCTCTTATCTACTGCGCTAATGCGGTCCCAGTTCCATGTGTCTACAGTTAAGGCAGCAAGAAGCAGAACCTGATATTTTCCTCGCCATACAAAAGAGGAAGTGAAGAAAAATTTTTGCAGATACATTGCTACCAACTTCCCTTGTGGAGACAGCACACCACCATGTCACATAGGGCTGGCAGTCAGTGAAGGAATCCAGCTGAGCACCTCTCGCCTCTCACCAGCAATCGTCTCAGGGTTTCTCTTGGATGTCCTAGTTTCCTCAATTGATTTATTTCCCATTTCAGTGTCTTTTTGGTGATTATCTCTGTTGGTTTCTTATCAGGAAGTACACAGCGTTGTGCCACCTGCTTGGTTTCATTTCTTCACCTTTTCTGTGTACATCCCATTTCATGAACATCAGTTTCAAATGCCTTTAACTTTTGTTCCATGTCTTCAGTGGTTCTCCAGATGTTACTGGCATACGCTCAAACTGAACAAAGAAACATCCTCTTTTGATGACCTATGCAACTTACGTCCAGCGGCACATGAAACCCACCCTTCCCCCCAAAAGGGTAAATAAACAAAGATGACATAGTTAGGGTAAAACATTTTCTGGAATTGATGCAACAGAGTACATACATATTTTTTACATTATGTACAATAATTTGGCGCACACACTGACCGTTCGTGACACACTGACCGTTCGTGACACACTGACCGTTCATGACACACTGACCGTTTGTGACACACTGACCATTCGTGACACTGATCGTTCGTGACACACTGACTGTTGGTGTGTTATGCAAAATTTGCATGACCAGTCTGAATGAAATTAGTGTTGAAAAATATAAATCCAATGTACGAACCAATCTGACCTGTTTGCTGGAACGGAGCAGGGGTCATAGGTTAAGCTGAGCTAGTTATGTTGGATTTTATACTATATCATTATGAGTTCCATATTCTGTACACTAACGCAGAGTGTCTTTAATGTTGTTGATCCATGTTTTCCGCGGCTGTCCTCTTGCTCTTGTAGTTGGTCTTCTGAGATGTAGTGCTTGTGATGGTATCTGATCTTGCTGAATTCTAACGAGATGGCCAAACCACTTGATCTTCTGTTTCTCGATGAATCTAGTACAAGGTGTCGTTCCCACAATTTGCCTGATAGTTTCATTATTCACTCGATCTTGTATGGTTAGGTTGGCTGCTTTTCTCAGGCACCTCATCTGGCAGGTGGTAATTTTGCGTATATGTGCTTTAGATAGTGTCCATGTTTAGCACTGGTAGCTTAATGTTGGAATAAATATGCTATTAATAATCTGTCACTTTGCACTCATAGTTATGCTTGGATGTCTTAATAATGGTGACAATTGGTATATAAGTGCCCTTGCTTTCTGACATCTGGTTTCTATTTCTCTGTCAATTCTACCATCTTCTGTGATCATATTTCCTAGATATTAAAACTCTCTAACTTGATTCAGGGCAGAACCATTCAGCTGTATGTGTAGTGGGGCAGAATGTCTACTAACTTGCATTGTTTCGGTTTTGTTTACATTGATCTTCATGTTGTATTTACTACATGCTGAGTTTAACCTGTTAATGTGGTCTTGCAGTCTATGTTCTTCAGGGTAAGACAAGCGCTGGTCGTCAGCAAACAGTAGTTCGTTTAATGTTGGTGAATCGATTACTTCTCCTGATGTGTGTACTTCCTCGTGATTATAAAGGTCTATGTTGTCTGTATCATAACTTGCTTCTTTAGATATTCTGTCTATATAGATGTTAAATAAAAATGGGGAGAGCACACATCCCTGACTCACACATGTGTTGACTGTGAACATATCTGTAAAGCCTTCTTGTGTTTTTACTACACTTTGGCTTGTGTGGTACATTTAGTGCATGCGCATATTTCTGGACTGTTCTGGATTGTTCACTAGTTTTTCAAATGGGACAGTGGGTGAAATTTTCACTGGCCCAAGCCTTTGCTGCTGCAAACTGGCATGCAGCTGGAATCGAACCAGGTTGCTTGGAATCACAAAGCGACATCACTAAATCTAAAAAGAAATAACCTAATTGATATTTAACAGAATACAGAGTCAACTGACCGATTTCCATTGGTAGTGAGGTCAGGTTGTTCTCACCAGCACCGAGATATTGCAAATTCTTCAAAAACCTGGCAAACAACAACAGCGAAATGTTAACATTTCCAACATTTCAAGATAACAAAATTTCAAAAATGTTTTTTAAACACTCTAATGAGCCCCGGCTTCCTTAAGTTTAATAAACAAATGGACATGTATTGATCAGCACTCACAGTAAGAAGTAGAAAGATAGAAGGACACAGTGGACAACATAAAAATCGAAAGCTATAGTTACATGCCAGGAATTGAACCTGCCACCTTCAAATGAAGACAGCATATTGCTGCAAGAACAAGCGTCCAAGACACTTAACCAACTAGACATCCTAAAAAAATTGTCTTCATTAGCCCAGTCTATCATACAGTTTGAACCCACTGCTATGGAATGCAGACAGAATTTATCTCAAACCAGTGAAAGGGCACTTCAAGTTATAGAACAGGCTAGTACTAAGCATAGGTCGGATAACGAACATAACAACAATTAAAACATATAAGACCATGAACCTGTGTTGAGAATAAACGAACCTGTAAAGAAGAGATATGACAGGTCGGTTTTACTGTGCCGCATGTAATACACCGAAATATACAGACAGAACACCCCTGATTATTTCTAACCTTCTTAAAAAAAAAAAACCAATGCACCAGTCAATATAAAGAAACATAACTCCAACTCGCCTCTTGGAACGTGAGGACCATGTGACCTGGGTTTTCCACTGACCTGGAAAACATTAGTGATGTGAGAAAAACGGCTATCATTGACGCCAAACTCAATTCACTTGACAGAGATATTGCTTGCCTACAGGAAACACGCCTGCCAGAAGATGGGTCCTTTTTTTTCTCTTCGCGTTTGGTTTCATATGCTCAGATTAGACCATCAGGTGGGTTGCCTCTATGAACCCACATTCTCAGATCAGACCATCAGATGGGTTGCCTCTATGAACTCGCATGCTCTGATCAGACCATCAGATGGGTTGCCTCTATGAACTCGCATGCTCTGATCAGACCATCAGATGGGTTGCCTCTATGAACTCGCATGCTCTGATCAGACCATCAGATGGGTTGCCTCTATGAACTCGCATGCTCTGATCAGACCATCAGATGGGTTGCCTCTATGAACTCGCATGCTCTGATCAGACCATCAGATGGGTTGCCTCTATGAACTCGTATGCTCAGATCAGACCATCAGATGGGTTGGATCTATGAACCCACATGATCAGATCATCAGGTGGGTTGCCTCAATGAGCTCACATGCTCTGATCAGACCATCAGATGGGTTGCCTCTATAAACTCACATGCTCTGATCAGACCATCAGATGGGTTGCCTCTATGAACCCACATGCTCAGATCAGATCATCAGGTGGGTTGCCTCTTTGAACTCGCATGCTCTGATCAGACCATCAGATGGGTTGCCTCTATGAACTCGCATGCTCCGATCAGACCATCAGGTGGGTTGCCTCTATGAACTCGTATGCTCAGAGCAGACCATCAGGTGGGTTGCCTCAATGAACTCACATGCTCAGAGCAGACCATCAGATAGGTTGCCTCTATGACCTCGTATGCTCAGAGCAGACCATCAGGTGGGTTGCCTCTATGAACTCGCATGCTCTGATCAGACCATCAGGTGGGTTGCCTCTATGAACTCGTATGCTCAGAGCTGACCATCAGGTGGGTTGCCTCTATGAACTCGCATGATCAGATCATCAGGTGGGTTGCCTCAATGAGCTCACATGCTCAGAGCAGACCATCAGATGGGTTGCCTCTATGAACTCGTATGCTCAGAGCAGACCATCAGGTGGGTTGCCTCTATGAACTCGCATGATCAGATCATCAGGTGGGTTGCCTCTATGAACTCACATGCTCAGAGCAGACCATCAGATGGGTTGCCTCTATGAACTCGTATGCTCAGAGCAGACCATCAAGTGGGTTGCCTCTATGAACTCGCATGATCAGATCATTAGGCACACAGTGGGGACTGCACAATCTTTATTTATGCATGTGGTAGTTAAGCCTGTAGTGTCCTGTTCGTAGATGAAAAATTGGCTCCTGAAAAAACTCAGTTGACTGGCTGTGGTGTAAAGTGTCCAGCAGCATCACCTAGCTTGTGATCATCATGTGCAGCTTAACCCCAGATTTTTTCAACCTCGACGCTGCTGGTTCCAGTGAAAGCTCAGTCTAGTTATATTGTCATCAGGTTTTCTTAATGCTGTATCCCCATGCAACGCTAACATCCTTTTATCACCCCTTAAATTCATAGGAATTATTTCTCTGCCAAAACTTTACATCAGTGATTCTATCACATCACTGAATTCCCTCTATTTTCGGCTGGCACCAGTTAATGCATCTTGGTATTAATCCAATGAACTGTGACTCAAAAGCTTAAGGAAAAGGTTGAAGGGGAACAACATACACTTATTCAACAGATACATTTTCATTTTATCAATAAATGTTTTCCAGTTTACACTGAAATAATTTTCACTTCATAAATAAGTGTTTTCCAGTTTACTATGAAATAATGTCCATGTTATCAATGGATATTTTCAAGTTTACAGTGAAATAATTTTCACTTTATCAAGCGATTTATGCAGTTTACACTAAAATAATTTCCACTTTATCAACAGATATTTTTTTTTTACTGAAGTATTTTTCACTTTATCATTTGATATCTTCCAGTTTATATTGAAATAATTTCCCAGTTGTCAATGAATATTATAATTTACATTTAAATATTTTCCACTTCATCAATGGATAATTTCAATTTTACACTGAAATAATTTCCACTTTTATCAATGAATATTTTTCCAGTTTAAAGATAATTTTCACTTTATCAAGGAATGTTTTCCAGTATATTCTGGGATATTTTTCAATTAAATTTGGGATTTATTACAGCTAGCTATAAGATATATTCCACTTTATCTGCAAATACTTCCAGTTTAACCCAGGGTGTTTCCACTTTACCTATTAATATATTCAAATTTACAAAGAGATATATTCCAGTTAACCCTTCGATATTTGTAATGGAAATCAAATATGATTTTTAAAAAAAAATACATACTCAATAGCTCTCGGCAGTGAAGTTAACTGATTGGACTGTACAATCAATTTCTGTAGTTCTTGCAACAGACCTACAGATAACAAAAGCATTACAATCAATTTCTGTAGTTCTTGCAACAGACCTACAGATAACAAAAACATTACAATCAATTCCTGTAGTAGATGTAACAGATTAACTGTAACTGAAAGGCATCATCATCATGTAGCAGGTCCTCTACAGAACGTCGCTCTCATCACAGTCTGCCTGACAGAAACTCGGTCTCTGGCCAGTTCTCCCGCCTCATGCACTTTCACACTCAAGAAGGAGTCACTTATATTCTGTGCACGTCTTCGTGTCGGTCGCCCCCCTGCCCCTCCTTCCTGGTACCATGCCTTCTGCTATAATATTTTCCAATCCGTCGTGGCGCTTGATATGACCAAAATATTTCAGCTTCCTAGAAAAGATGCTGTTTTTTAGCCAATCTTCCTTGATGTTCAGATCTTTCAAGATGTCAATATACTGAAAGGCATAGGAATCAATAATAATAGTGAGGAGGCTTCACTGGCAAGGTCACAGGTGGTGAGCATACTTTGAATCTTTTCTCCAGGCCATGCTGGCATGGTGGGGAATGAACAGGCAGACATACTGGCTGGATCTGCACCGCTTGGTGGTGAACTGATACATGACAAGGCAGATGTGACCAGAGCCTTTTGAGAACAAGTAACAAAGTCAGAAGAGAAACTAGAATATTATGGGCTGGAGAGAATTATGCACCTGGGTGTAACCAGAGGTTTCAGCCGGCACACTACGCCCAGAGGAAAGGCAAGACAGACATACAACCAGACTACGACCGTCACCATTAGTACTGGAACTCTGTGCTGGCTGCTGTGGATGGGGACAAAACACGTATGGGAATGCTCCAAGTGCTGTGATGCCAATTCTTAACCGAACTAAACTAATAATAGTTGAAACCATGTGATTTGCACAGATTTCTGACACACCCTTAGTGTCACAAATACACCTTACATATAAAACACTGTAGTGTTACGAATACACCTTACACATAAAACACTGTAGTGTAATAAATACACCTTACATATAAAACACTAGTGTCAGAAATACTACTTACATATAAAACAACTGTAGTGTCACAAATACACCTTACATACAAAACACTGTAGTGTCACAAATACACCTTACATATAAAACACTGTAGTGTCACAAATACACCTTACATATAAAACACTGTAGTCTCACAAATACACCTTACATATAAAACACTGTAGTGTCACAAATACAACTTACATACAAAACACTGTAGTGTCACTAATACACATTACATATAAAACACTGTAGTGTCACAAATACACCTCCCATATAAAACACTGTAGTGTCACAAATACACCTTACATATAAAACAACTGTAGTGTCACAAATACACGTTACATATAAAACAACTGTGGTGTCACAAATACACCTTACATATAAAACACTGTAGTGTCACAAATACACCTTACATATAAAACACTGTAGTGTCATAAATACACCTTACATATAAAACACTGTAGTGTCAGAAAAACTGCTTACATATAAAACAACTGTAGTGTCACAAACACACATTACATATAAAACAACTGTAGTGTCACAAGTACACCTTACATATAAAACAACTGTAGTGTCACAAATACTGCTTACATATAAAACAACTGTAGTGTCACAAATACACCTTACATGTAAAACACTGTAGTGTCACAAATATACCTCACATATAAAACAACTGTAGTGTCACAAATACACCTCACATATAAAACACTGTAGTGTCACAAATACACCTTACATATAAAACACTAGTGTCACAAATACATCTCACATACATATAAAACACTGTAGTGTCACAAATACACCTTACATATAAAACACTGTAGTGTCACAAATACACCTTACATATAAAACACTGTAGTGTCCACAAATACACCTTACATATAAAACAACTGTAGTGTCCCAAATACACCTCACATATAAACACTATAGTATCACAAATACTGCTTACATATAAAACAACTGTAGTGTCACAAATACACCTCACATATAAAACACTGTAGTGTCACAAATACACCTTACATATATAGAAAACACTGTAGTGTCACAAATACACCTTACATATAAAACACTGTAGTGTCGCCAATACTGCTTATAAATAAAGCAACTGTAGTGTCACAAATACACCTTACATACAAAACACTGTAGTGTCACAAATACACCTTACATATAAAACACTGTAGTGTCACAAATACACCTTACATATAAAACACTAGTCTCACAAATACACCTTACATATAAAACACTGAAGTGTCACAAATACAGCTTACAAATAAATACTGACATGCTACAAATACAGCTTACATATAAAACAACTGTAGTGTTGTGACAATACGCGCGGTGACTTCAGAATGTCTTTCCTCAACCTACTGTTATTTGTATGTATTTTGAAGTATACAGACAAATAGGGATTTGGATACATCCTTAATCTAAATAGGATGACCACATCACACCTTTTAATTCTCCTGGACTGTTGGTCATATCAAACACTACAACTTTTTCCCAGATGTTAAGTGTTAAGGTACAGAGATAAGACTGACCAAGCAGACTTACTGACTGGAGATTTGCACACCATTTGTTGGTGTCAGATAGTTATTCCCCCTGCCAGACCTTCAGGAACAGATAACAAGGGCTAATTGCCATTATCTCCCCCTGAGGTTACCTAAACTGGAGTGCCGGTCCGACGGTCACTATTGACATGGTGAGCAGAAAGTGTTAACAGAAGAATTGACACAGTCTGATTTTATTGTGATGACAGGTGAAGTAGACTGGAGGTGTGACTTGGCCTATTAGCTTTGACCAGCTTAATTGAACCAGAAGATCCTAACGTGGGAATTTAAACAAGTGTTGTACAGCCCTGACTGACAGTGAATAAACTTACCCACAAGGGAGGAGCTGTGACATCCTTGAATGAGAATGATTTTAGGCGTAATGTAGGAGGAGCTTGATAAAAGTTATAAAGGGGTGAACTCTAGGTCTGGTAAATGAGATCCTGTCCAGCACATGCCATCTGTTGGGCTTAACCTAAGCTTGAGACAGAACTTTTGGCATCGTGGTTTCATTTTTCCAGGTAAGATCGAAATTAGGTTCAAATCTATATTTTATGATAGAGATCTAACTGTCTTTTTACTCAAGTGTGTCTTTATCACTTTGTAGTACTCCTAGGCGGACATTTCTCCATTCTCGTAGGGCACTGTCACATTGCTTTTTTTCCTAATTGATAGTGTCATGTTTTTTTGTGCACATGTGTTTCAATGTTGTAAAACTTAAATGTTGATGTTACCATTGAAATTTAATGAACTATCATGTTTTTGAAATCACAAGCGTGAAGATAACTTTGGCAATCTTGTCACGTGTGGTTAATGTGAATCTGTATTACATACAGCTAACACGCTGAAATGTGTTTAACTCTCGGGAGGCAAATGCGGAGATTGATCCCGGAGAGAAAATCCTTGAGATTTGGTAGTTGATTCGCCTCAGAAATATTGTTAGCTTTCTGGGCGCGTCGATTGTTCCAAGAATAGATTCCAGAACTGGTTCTGTCTGACTGATTGTCATTTTGAGTCTGTACGAGAGATGGCACCTGACGTAGAAGACTTGACTATCATTACAGGACGTGTAGAGGAAGGCAGAAGATGTAACAGTTGGAATGTGAGACATAAGCCCTTCCAAATTGGACAGGAGTGAATGTGAGCATGAGGGAGAGATGAAATGTTTTATTTAAATAAACATGCTTGATGTTAGTATAATATACATGCTTAGTGTACATCTAGAGCAGATACTACAAATATGCGCTTGTTTCTTCATTCTCCAGTTCCCACATTGGGCAGTTACTAGTAGGCATCCATTATTTGCCGACCGTCGAGTGTAACGACCTGCAGAAAGCAGTGAGGACGACAAACTGGAAAAGATAGGCAGGGTCTCAAGCCGAGAACTGTCCAAAGGTTGTTACTTTCCAATACCTTTATGATTTCATCATTCACATCATTCCAACTCTACTAGCCTAAACAAGTTCATTTTAATTTCGATTTATTCAAATAAATCATGGTTGATTTTGTTAAACCATAGTTGAGTAAATTGTGTACTTAGGTTCAAGTGTCTTTGTGCATATTAGTTTACTTCAGCTAACAAATATTTAAATCACTTGATGGGGGCTTTTAAGTAATGCCAGGAGAGGAAAGCAGTCGGAGGGGTTAAATGAGCACCTGGATTATATCACAGTGGGTGTATCCAGATATCTATCTATCCCTTCTCCTACTCCTGTGGATACAAGTACAGCAACTTTCATTTCATGGAACGAGCCACTCGCTGTTTTCTTGGCTATCCAGGACTGTCTAGGATCAACATAGCTTAGATAATAGTCCAGTTTCTCACGTGGGTGGGCATTGTTAAGGTTCAAACCCACACCCTCACTATATCAGTGTATTTACCCACGTGGGCGCGCGACAAGTGTCACAAATACACCTCACATATAAAACACTGTAGTATCACAAATACACCTCACATATAAAACACTGTAGTGTCACAAATACACCTTACATATAAAACACTGTAGTGTCACAAATACACCTTACATATAAAACACTGTAGTGTCACAAATACAGCTTACATTTAAAATACTGACATGTTACAAATACTGCTTACATATAAACATGAAATGTAAAAAATACAGCTTTGTACCAAACGATAACAATAAAGAATATACACACAAAAATGAAACGAAACAAGCATACAATTCAAACACATAACATGAAACAAAAACACCATTTAAACACAAAATGAAATGCCAAAAAATACACCATTCAAACGGAATATGAACCATCAAAAATGCAAAACTACAGACAACATGAGCTGAGACATACCTATTTCCTGTGGCAATGACTCTAGTCTGTTTTCTTCCAGATCCAAGACACGCAGCTTCTTCAAGTTGCCAATGTTTGGTGGTAACCTCTTAAACAGAAACACAAGCCAACAAACATTCATTAGCATCGCAGCTTCTTCAAGTTGCCAATGTTTGGTGGTAACCTCTTAAACAGAAACACAAGCCAACAAATATTCATTAGCATCGCAGCTTTTACAAGTTGCCAATGTTTGGTGGTAACCTCTTAAACAGAAATACAAGCCAACAAACATTCATTAGGATCGCAGCTTCCACAAGAGAAGTTTAGGAAATAGTACTATTATCAAAGAGTTGGGAACTGACATCAGAGCACTCAGGACACTGGCATAAGTGCTTCGTCTCCATCTTCAGCAGCCTGCGCAGAGTTCCAGTGATAACAACATGTCCCACTTTCCTTCTTCTCATAACATCAACAAAACATGAATGTTGTGTTTCTGATGTCTGTGATCAATTGTCTTCAAACCTTCACCTCTTTCACAACATCTGGACCTCTTTCACAACATCTGGACCTCTTTCACAACATCTGGACCTCTTTCACAACATCTGGACCTCTTTCACAACATCTGGACCTCTTCCAAAACATCTGGACCTCTTTCACAACATCTGGACCTCTTTCACAACATCTGGACCTCTTTCGCAACATCTGGATCTCTTTCACAACATCTGGGCTTCTTTTTTTCTGACTGCCCAAGGAATTGTAATGATTTTTCTGTAGAAGCACATTAAGGTCTGAAGAAATTGTCTGGTTTGTTCATAATTTGCCATCTGTTCAAACTGTGCCTGTTGCACAGGCCTCCAGTAACAGCCATCTATTGCCTAAAACAGTGCACTTGATCAAATGCTGTTTTAGCCAGTTCCGTTCTGGTCTTGATCTCTGTGATACATTTTCCATCAGATGTTATTTATGTGCCAACATTCTTTGGTCAAGTAATTAAAAGGAGAAAACCGAAGTACATCGTGACATTTGGAGAGAAGGAGAGGCAGAGGGAGGCCAATAGTAAAGATGCTGGTCAGTTTGACATCATGGCATGGAGGATCAACTGTGTCAGTGCTGACTGAAAGTACATGAGACAGAAGGTTATGGCTAGACATGACTAACAATGCCACAGACTTTAAGGACAGGTTAAACTCCTCAAACTGACTAATTTGTTTCAAAAGTCTGGAATTTTAATTTTTAACACTACATGAAAGTGTATTCATTTCTGCACATAATAATCTACGTCTTGTTGCAAAATTCCAGCTGAAAGTATTTTAAATTAATTTTAACAACTGGTATGGTAACTATTTATTTACTTAATTATAAAAGGAAAATATTCAAACGGTCATAACTGGGTGATTTATCAGCCTATTTTAATAATTTATTTGTTAGAGATCATATAATTGGGATGGTCTTATCTTCCATGTTGGAAGATACAGCCTAGAAATAGCTGTAAGTGGTGCTGTTACTATAGAAAATGAAGGGAAACTAGTCAGCGATAAGCTGTGGCACAGTGTTTCCACATTTCGTAGATTTGATAAAGTACGTAAAAGAAGGGAATAGAATGGTTAAGAAGACAAAAAGTGCAAGGTAAAGTACTCAGACAGCTGAGGATGATTCATAAGCAGCAGGGACGCATTAGGTTCAGGATTTTTGTGAAAACCAGCTTGGTCAATTACTTTTTTCGCGATTTTCTCAAAAATAACTTTTTTGATATTTTTACTGTGTTGTGCAATATCTTAAAAAGTTTTAACATACTGTCTCTAAACTTGGCACATACATAGGAGAATAACACTGAAACAGACTGAACTAGAAGAATACAGCAGCTTGTTTACTTTATGAGTTTTTGTCATCTATGATAACCCTTTCCCCTAATTTTTGGGAAAAAACATTATTGTACCATTGAAGTGAGCATAACTTACATAGCTTTTAGTGAATGTTCTTTAGTTCATAACGTTTTAAGTATAATGCTAAATGTGCACAATTTCAGTAAGCCACCTTTGTTAGTGTTTTCAATACCTTCGTAAATGTAGAGAACTAATTTGGCTATTTCCGCATGAAAATTACATTAGCAATCAATTTTCTTTAATATATGTTGATTTTAGCACCCAAAATTAATTTTCCTCTAGTATGTACCTACAGGAAGTATTGTTTCCAGCAGATATAATCAAATTCAATTTGGGGGTTTTACTGTCCTTAAGAAGAAGAAAATACTTAAATGTCTTTCAGTATTATGTTACATGCAATCTAAAGGGAAACAAAGTTTACAAAACGACAGACATGACACTATAATACTCACCCTCAAAGCATTGTTGCTGAGGATCAGCACCTCCAGCTTCTGCAGGTTCTGAATGTCGTCTGGAATTTTGGTCAGTTGGTTAGTGCCCAAGTTGAGCTCAACCATGTTCTGCCAGCTACCCATGTCTGAGGATAGATACAAGTGACATGTTTGTCTGCAATGACATTCTCCTGCCATGGCTGTGACTAACAAGCTTAACAAGGACGGGAGGAGGGAGGGAGGGAACACAGACAGGAACCACTAAGCATTCCACAATGGCCTTTAACAACAAAAATCACAAGAGCACCAGCTGGCTAGCCCCTGCTCTGCACTCCCAACCCAATGTGATCAGAACCCTACACAGGTCCGACTGCTGCTCAGCCACTTCGACCCACTCCTCCCATCACCAAATATTTTCAAGCATGCACATGTCTACCTGCTGTGTTAACAAGAATCCGTATCAGGGATTTAAAAATTGCAAAACTAAACCCACGAGTATACTAGTTCCTGAGAGGCCAAATATACAACCCTTGCAGAAAACAAATGTGCTCTCACAAACAATACAGAAGGTAACTCACCGAGTGGCAGTGCAGATAACTGGTTGTCCTTCATGTTGAGTTTAGTCAAATGTTTGGCACGAGAGAATATCCCTAGAGGAATGTTGTTCACTCGATTGTGCTCCATGTTCAAGGACTGCAACATGATCATGAACAGGTTCAAGAGCAAATATTGAAACTGAATGCACAGCAATGTGAACGATTATATTAATCATTGGTATCGATTACAGATCTCTTTAATCCCTTTTTCTAGTGATACTTGATACCTTTCCATCATCAGTCTTCTTCTTCACTACTACTGTTACGGCTCCAGAGGTTGAGGAAGATACAAGGTTTCACACAAGGCACGCACCAAAATAGAAGGACATGAGAGACCAAGAAGAAGTTGCAAAGGTAACACAAGAGAAACTCTATAGCAGTACCATGGGTCTGAGTGAGGTCACTTTAGAGACCTTTCTAGAAACTAGATATTCAAATGTTAACTCTACAAGGAAGGGGTCTCCAAGGTGAAGTGGTCCAACTGTTTGCATCATGTAACGAAGGTCGTGGGTTCATTTCACAGCTGCATAGTATGGTCCATGAGTGCAGTTTTTATGGCGACCCCTGGGGATCATCTCTGGAGCTACGGTGTCTGTGCTATGTTCTCTGCAAGCAGTCAGTCAATCTGCAGAAAGACAGAGCCATATGGGATAAAAACCTAGTGCAATCCTGTCGACTACTAACTCCACGGGGACTGTACAGTACAGCTCTTCTTCCGGTCTTCTATCTCCAAAAGTAGCAGGGTGCAGAAAGAACAGCAACTGGAATTTAACATCTGCAAAGAAATCAACCTAGGATACAATGAGACCATGGGTAGGAAGTAATGCCCTGAGACAGGCCTTGCACTATATCCCCAATGCACCATTGGCATTATAAAGGTCACTCTTTTTCTTCTTCACTGTTCACCAGCTGTAACCATTTGTGCCAAGGCCTGAGTTTTGTGTGTACGTCCCTTCTACTGGCTTATTTGTGTGCAGCTGGTTGTTCCTTGCAGCTCACGCAGATGCACTCCGACTGTGAAGGAAGCTTCCAATTTTAGTTCACTCTTACATATTTTTTTGTTGGTAGGTAGTGGGTCTATTCTTGTTTTCCCCACAATGGGTTTCTGGAACCCACACGGGGCATAATAGTGCGTCAAAACCAGACTAAGATTAAGCCAGTCCTTTGGCTACACAAACACAATGTTTTTCCTATATGTCCTTGGCTCCCAGCCTAAGGTGGGCACTAGGTAAAGTCCTTGGAAGTAAAGGCGGTCGGTGTGATTTTGACCACATGACCCACTGAGTGCCGACTGAATCATAAAAACATGATAGTCTAGCCTCACATACATTTGGACTGGCTGGTATTAGGTCTACGTTTGCTAATGTGCTGTGTGTATTTCCGCAGACTCCAACATAGCCACACAAAAATGTTCACATAAAAAACAGTAAACTAAAGAACCCCTTTCAGGCATATTGGGTATATAGGGCTGGACCTATATTTTATAGACCAACTGCACTTGGTGGGTGATGTGGTCAGCGTCACGCTGACCACCTTTACTTCCCAGGACTGTACCTGGTGCCCACTCAAGACTGGGTCGAAATTGTAGCCAAGGTCATTTTTGAAACAAATACGGCACCTGTCAGGAACCTTCCGATTTACAGGCAAGATTCTAGCCGCTAGACAACGGCAGCTCCCACATATAAAACAGTTGCAACTGAAAAATCAACACAGGAAAAATTTTAAAGATATGAAATTAAATAAATGACAAAAAAAATAACAATACCTGATTTTAAAAACATGCATGAGCGGTCAAACACAAAAAATACCAATACAGAAAAATTACTAATAAAAAACAATAACAACAAATGACCACTAGCAAAAACAAAATGTTATACAGAACAAGGATCGATACAAAAAACTGGCATGTACGGAAAATTATTTATAAATAAGAATACAATTTTTTTTCAATACCAAAAAAAAAAGAACAGCCTTGAGTACTTACATATACAGAACAAAACTGGGACGGGCCTCCGGTTGGATATTTTTCAAACTTGTTTCTGGATAATGTGATACTGGTCAGCTGGGTCAAACTGGACAATAGTCCCTCCTGTTGGTCATATAATTCAGATGTATTACTCAATAAACAGGACACACATGCTAAATTACAAACTGACTACCAACACATTACTCAATAAACAGGACACACATGCTAAATTACAAACTGACTACCAACACATTACTCAATAAACAGGACACACATGCTAAATTACAAACTGACTACCAACACATTACTCAATAAACAGGACACACATGCTAAATTACAAACTGACTACCAACACATTACTCAAAAAACAGGACACATACTAATTCACAGACTGACTGTTAACACATAACTTAAAAAAATAGAACACATACTAAATCACAAACTAATTGTTAACACATTACTCAATAAACAGAATACATACTAAATCAAACCTGGCTGTCAACAAAATACTCAATAAACAGAACACATACTAAATCACAACCTGGCTGTCAACAAAATAATAAACAGAATACACACTAAATCAAACCTGGCTGTCAACAAAATACTCAATAAACAGAACACATACTAAATCACAACCTGGCTGTCAACACATTACTCAAGAAACAAAATACATGCTAAACCACAACCTACATGTCAACATACCACTCCAAAAAAAAAAAAGAACACCAGCTAATGAACTGAGTGCTTGATGTGACACTGTGAGCTGTGGATATAATGTGAGATTGTGTTCTGCTGAGCCCAAGGCATGTAGTGACTAAAACAGGAGTGGCTGCCCACTTCAGAATGGCATGTACTTTTGCAGCAGGTGCAATTCCCCACTGGTACCAGCGGTGAGCTGCAATTCTGGTACGAGGCTATTACTACTGACATATCTGTTATCTGTCTAATGTATTTTTACTTTCCACGTGCAAGCTTCAAGATTTTGATGGGATCGACAAATTGTTCAATTGTTCTCAAATGAGACAGTGAAAGACATTTTGTGTAATTTCCGCTGGCACACAAACAGAGCAGTTATGGGGCGACCTGCATGGATGCTGCAACCTCATATAACAAGTATTTTCAGCTTGCTTGCTGGGGCGAAAATTCTGGATTTGAACTCTCGCTAGCGCAAATTATTTTTTTTTAAACTTATTACTCCCAGGCTAGTCCAGCCTTTTTCGTCTGAAACTGCCCTTATAAGGGTGGCTGGCACATTACATTATGGTTTACAGCTAGGCTATGATATCTACACCTTTTGGCTCAACACTAACTATTTCAGCAAATTCTTAATTAGTCGCCGTTTACAATGACATGCTTGTTAAAGAACAGTGAGTTGTTCTTTTAGCCCCCAAAAATGGAGTCTCTGAGCAAAATCAGAAACAAATCCAACCTAAACTGCGTGCCAGATAATGTATCGGGAAGTAAAGGCGGTTGACGTCATGACCACATCCCCCGATACCCAATTGACCAAGATCATGACAAGGGAAGGACTGAACAATGTTCAAACAACTCAACTAGCAAGAGCAGAATCAACAAAAACAACCTCTAGGGATGACCACTCACCGGTAAGGACGATATGTTATTACCCTCCACATTAAACTCGTCCATGTTTATACAGTTGGCCAAGTTGCCAGGAATCACACTCAACCGGTTGTACCTGGAAAACAGAAAGTCACAAATTACCATCACCATCATCATCATCATTATCATCACCACCATCATGATAATCACCATCACCATCTTCATTACCATCGCCAACATAATCATCATCATCATCACCATTGTCATCATCATCATCATCACCATTGCCATCATCATCATCACCATTGCCATCATCATCATCGCCAAATGCCACGATGACTGGTACGGGCGCAATTGCCAGAGAAAACAGAAATGGGATTTGGAAAGCTTAGACAGCAAGTATAATTCCTGTGTGGGTTCCTGGACCCCATTTTGAGGAACAGACCCACAAACTCCCTTACAAGCATGTTATAAAAGGCGACTAGTTAGCGGCATTTCCTTCAAAAGCTGGAGTGCGCCTGCCTGAAAGGCAAAGAACTAACAGAATGTATATAAATAAGCCAGATCTGTAAAATGGATGTGCACACAAAACTCAAGTTATGGGACAAGACCAAAGTCCAGAAGTGGACAAACAACCAGATCTTTATATTGGAGTTTACAGCTGGGAAATGCTGAGAAGAAGAAACAGCAATCAAAGTAAAACACCCTTTTCCCACCAGTCGGCATATCAAGTATATGGAGCTGGACTCATATTTGCAGGCAGACGTATGTGTTGTCAACATCATGCTGATAACCTCTACTTCCCAGTCATAAGTTTTGTTTTAAATATCCACAAAACCATGAGTTGTAAACCCTTTGGCTCGGTACTATGGATATCGCAACCCTTCGGCCTTTCATGATACATACCATAAATTCGGGGAGATATGTGGTTTTTCTGCCCAACCCCGAGCGTGAACCTGGACCACAAGGAGTTCGCCGCGCAGTCAAGTTTAACCAACTGAGCTAGCAAGCCAGACTTCCAGTTTTATACCCGGTACTTATTTTAGGTTTAGGCTGGGTCAACCTGGAAGGCAGGGTCATTTTTTAAAGAGGGAAAAAAAAAAGAAATGATGTGGTTTCAAACTAAAGACATTCAGGCTGGCAGCAAGAGCATTTAGCCAAAGCACCACAGCAGCTTCCAAAGCTCAAATAGCAAGACAATAAATAATGTATCAACATTTTGCATCCTCCCTATGGGTTTTGGGACCTGCTGCTTCCCCCTAATAGGCAGTTACAAAGGCGACATAGGGATGAACAACAAGAACTTTTCACCAGAATTAACAGTCAGTGATTGCAAAGAAGAAATACTGGGTCACAAAGACCTAGGAGCCATAATCGCTGATTTCTGCACTAGGACATGCAACTGAAAAGAAATCCAATAAGCATGGGTTTCATCGCACGCACACACTCATCCCTAAGGTGCTCAGTCTTCCTTGGTAAAGGACACTGTTTATGGCAAAGGTGCTGCAGGTTTATGACTGGTCAACTGATCTGTCCCTTCCATGCTGCTACCCAAAGATTTACCATACCGTGAGATTTAAAAATCTTAATCTGGAAGGCAGACCAACTCGGCAGATTCTAGATACTCTGTTTAACCATCTTCGCCTTCTTACAGTCCATGCTGCCTAGCGTTGGTGGCCATGTCTATCCACAACCTTCTGTTGCGTGTACTTTCAATCAAGCTGTGTAGCGTTGGTGGCCATGTCTATCCACAACCTTCTGTTGGGTGTACTTCCAATCAAGCTGTGTAGCGTTGGGGGCCATGTCTATCCACAACCTTCTGTTGCGTGTACTTTCAATCAAGCTGTGTAGCATTGGGGGCCATGTCTATCCACAACCTTCTGTTGCGTGTACTTCCAATCAAGCTGTGTAGCGTTGGGGGCCATGTCTATCCACAACCTTCTGTTGGGTGTACTTTCAATCAAGCTGTGTAGCGTTGGTGGCCATGTCTATCCACAACCTTCTGTTGGGTGTACTTCCAATCAAGCTGCGTAGCGTTGGTGGCCATGTCTATCCACAACCTGCTGTTGCGTGTACTTCCAATCAAGCTGTGTAGCATTGGGGGCCATGTCTATCCACAACCTTCTGTTGCGTGTACTTCCAATCAAGCTGTGTAGCATTGGGAGCCATGTCTATCCACAACCTTCTGTTGCGTGTACTTCCAATCAAGCTGTGTAGCGTTAGTGGCCATGTCTATCCACAACCTTCAGTTGCGTGTACTTTCAATCAATTCTAACACTGAAGATGTTGCATGCCATGATTTCAAACTGTCCAGCATTGTCTCTCTGTTTCCCTCTGCCTCTTTCCCCCTTTTAACTTCTCCACCGTCATGATTCCCTCAGACCTAAATGTTTATCTTTCTAAGCTAAACTGTTTGGAATGTAAGGGTGTAACGTAACAAGTGCTGGGACTAAAAGAGTGAAGATAAATGACGAATAAGGCACTAACCTGAGACCAAGCCGATTTAATGCCTTGAGGTTACCAATGGATTCTGGGATGTCTAAGAGTTCATTGTGCTGGAGGTCAAGAGAGTTCAGCATCTCACACTTGCCGATATCTGAGAGGAAATAAATGACTTGTCTGACAATGAAACATCAACAATACATAACGTGGTCATAAGGTGAAATAGAGAGTGTGAAGCAACAAGGAAGGTCATAATCTGTTTAAATCCCCATATTTCACTGGTATCGTGAGAGCTAATAGACTGAAATGGCTTGGGCATATTGAGAGAATGTCAGATGACAGAGAGGTAAAAAAAAACAAGGGAGCTGAATGGTTGTAGACCACCAGGTAGACCAAGAAGATGATGGAGAGATAATATAATAACCAGACAGACCTACAAACACCTGGTGTTACCAAATGGAAAGAGGCAGCCAACCACAGAGATGAATGGAAGCGGATAATATCTGCAGCAATGAACCTCAGAGCTTTGGAATGTTGAAGGAGGAGGAGCAGGAGAAGGACAGGTGGAAAAAACAAAAAAGACAAATTCATAGTTCTTTTCCTCCATCTGGATTCCAGGATCCCAATTTAACTACTTCAATCCTTAAAAATTCAAGATGTATGTCCAGTCTTTCCCTTTCTTCTTCCTTTTGACTTTTCATTGAAACTAGCTTGCAACCTATTGTCGTGGGGTTTTCTGTATTTGTCTTGTGTGATGTATTTGTTAATCTTTTTGCAGATACACCACTTTTCATCCATCTCTTTCTTGGTCTTCCCTTTACCTTCCTCCCATACATAATGCTGGTAAAGAAAAAACGTCTTTCCCTTTATATCCATAAAATCACACAATGCTTCTATTACTCTTTTAACATCTTGTCACAGCATGACAGCAAACTTAGAAATCTAGCGTCTTGGTGCTCCCAACGTGAAAGTAATGCGCACATGATGATGGCTATTACTTCATTATGTAAGCCTCCTGGGACTGAATGGACAAGGGGACAAAAACAGACCCGCTGCCTCTCCACACACACACACACAACAGCAAGGGCAAAAATTGTTTTTTTTTAATGAAACTGGACATGCTGTGCCAAAAGGCACATATGTCACAGCCTATCTGTAAACTGCAACAGAGTGTGCCATATGCCCTTTTGAGGGCGAACAAGTTCTTTGGTTTAGTTAGTGAGCCCTCAAGAAGACTGGGTTGTACCTCCAACTCCTGGTTCGCTGGCATTCAGATTATCTGAGACTTGAAAAAAGGTTTCCATCCTTTGTGAGGTTTCTTGTGCTTTGTAGATGGTAGCTTCATGTCACGGAGGTATCTTTCAGTCTACAGGTGTAATTTGTAATGGAGATCACTGGAGCTATAGAGTTTGTGCTTTGTGCGATGATCTCAGCAGGGGCTAGCTGTTCTGCAGAATGAACAAGTTTTCAAAGGGTCACAAAGTGAGCATGCAGGCCTGCCTTTCATCCAGCCCTAAAAAAACATCCACGTTTTACAAAGCAATTGTATTTTGTCAGTAAAGAATGTTATGTTTATATAATAATATGCATAGATGAATATCAGGAACAAGCACAAAAGCATGGGTGGTAAAATGCACGTGCATGTGCGAGCCCACACACACGTCTGTCCACCCACTCACACACATACAGCACAGAGAATCGTACAGACACACCTACAAACATATACACATGCCCAGTCACACGTGCAGACACATGCAGACTCACGCACACACACAGACACTGATCTGTTACAATCAAAACACTCTTACCATCTGGCAAATGTTCGAGATGATTATGCGAAATGTCAAAGGTCACCAGATTTTCTAACTTTCCAATTCCACTGGGAAGTTCCTTGATTTTATTTTCACGTAAACTAAACTTTCTTAAATTCTGTGGATGGAAAAAGTAAATTTTCATTGACTTATGAACACATGTGACAATCTACATTTCTTATAAAATGTCTTTCCAGCTGAATTCAATGGCATTATCAAGGAGAGTTGGCAGATGTTAAAATCATCACCTACCCAGGTTCGACTAGCGTAAAAAAAAAAAACAACTGGCATCTCATGTCCGATGTATGCTGGCACAACACCATTCCAGGCATAAAAAAGGATCCTGAAAAAAATTACTTCCAGTATTTCAGGATCCTCGCCAGTGCTACAGAGCCTGTGCACAGTGCTGAGCCCCTTTGGACTCAGATTTAAGGAACGTGTTCTATTATGATGATCCATTATTCAAATTTCAACAACAAAAAACAAAAACAAAACAAAAATTTTTTTAAGCATAGTTTTTAGACTAAAATCTACTACAAAATGACCTGCCTTTAAAATGCCATCTACAACCGGACTTGAAATCATAAATCCACTTACTTATTTGTGTTAAAAAACAACAATAACAACGAAATTAAAATCAAATTCTTAATTTATTCTCTAGTAACTTCTCCTCCTTGATGTGAAAACTGAAATCTGTTGATGAACTCATATGTAAAATATTGCCAACCTGATATGAAACTGAAATCTGTAGATGAACTCATATGTAAAATATTGCCAACCGGATATGAAACTAAAATCTGTAGATGAACTCATATGTAAAATATTGCCAACCTGATATGAAACTGAAATCTGTTGATAAACTCATATGTAAAATATTGCCAACCGGATATGAAACTGAAATCTGTTGAACTCATATGTAAAATATTGCCAATCGGATATGAAACTGAAATCTGCTCATGAACTCACATGTAAAATATTGCCAACTGGATGATATGAAACTGAAATCTATTCCTGAACTCACATGTAAAATATTGCCAACCGGATATGAAACTGAAATCATTATTTTACTGACTCTAATGTAAACAATATCTGTAACTATATATGAGATCATCATGCATGACACGTGCCAATTTCATCCCCTATCTGAAATCATCATGCATGACACATGCTAATTTCATCCCCTATATGAAATCATCATGAATGACATGTGCCAATTTCATCCCCTAAATGAAATCATCATGAATGACATGTGCCAATTTCATCCCCTATATGAAATCATCATGCATGACACATGCTAATTTCATCACCTATATGAAATCATCATGCATGACACATGCTAATTTCATCACCTATATGAAATCATCATGCATGACACATGCTAATTTCATCCCCTATATGAAATCATCATGCATGACACGTGCTAATTTCATCACCTATATGAAATCATCATGCATGACACATGCTAATTTCATCCCCTATATGAAATCATCATGAATGACATGTGCCAATTTCATCCCCTATATGAAATCATCATGCATGACACGTGCCAATTTCATCACCTATATGAAATCATCATGTATGACACGTGCCAATTTCATCCCCTTTATGAAATCATCATGCATGACACGTGCCAATTTCATCACCTATATGAAATCATCATGTATGACACGTGCCAATTTCATCCCCTTTATGAAATCATCATGCATGACACGTGCCAATTTCATCACCTATATGAAATCATCATGTATGACACGTGCCAATTTCATCCCCTATATGAAATCATCATGTATGACACGTGCCAATTTCATCCCCTATATGAAATCATCATGTATGACACGTGCCAATTTCATCCCCTTTATGAAATCATCATGCATGACACGTGCCAATTTCATCACCTATATAAAACCATCATGCATGACACGTGCCAATTTCATCCCCTATATGAAATCATCATGTATGACACGTGCAAATTTCATCCCCTATATGAAATCATCATGCATGACACGTGCCAATTTCATCACCTATATGAAATCATCATGCATGACACGTGCCAATTTCATCACCTATATGAAATCATCATGTATGACACGTGCCAATTTCATCCCCTATATGAAATCATCATGCATGACACGCGCCAATTTCATCCCTAACTACACATGAAAGTCTTTTCACTTGCTCTTATACAAAAACAATCCTTGACCTGTTAGGGTCGCAGAGGTGCATCGATGGAAACACCAGTACATAAAACCCACCATCTTTCTCTGTCTTCCACGTGTTACATAAGTGTATAGTAATTTAGTCCTGTTAATTTCTTGATGTTATTCCAGGTTGTTACCCCCTCCCTCCCCCCTCCACAAAGTTGAAGTAAATAGCCTTTGCAGTCAAATCGTGTCTCACCACGTACCTCAGAATCAGAATTAGAATTCCACTGATTCATGTCAAAGACAGTTGACAATGAGATATCTTCTTGCTATTTGCCGGCTGTAAACTTCTGCACAAAGTTCTGGTTGTTTGTCCACTTCTCTACTTTGGTTGCTTGTTCCAGAACATGACTTTTGCGTACACATTGATTTTACAGATCTGGCTTATTTGTATGCAGACTGTTGGTTCCTCATCTCTCATGCAGAAACACTCCGGATTTGAAGAAAACATCCTTAATATTTTGCCTCTTATGACATGCTTACTGGGGGCAATGGGTCTATTCTTTTTCCACATAAAATGAGGCTCCCTAATAAGAATGTCATAAATTGAGGGGTTTGCCAAAACTAGAGGTACTGGGCTAAAAGGTCCAGATATCACAACCTAGCTGTAAACCACAGTACCACATGCAAACCACCATTTTAAGGGCAAACACACAAAAAAAGATGAAAACAAGAGGACAAGGTCAATAATTTTATAAAATCAACAGTTAAAGACACAAAGATGTTTTTTTTTTTTAAAAAGGACAAGACACAGAAAGTGGACACAAGACACACAAAGATGACACAGGACATACAAAGTGTACATAAGACGCACAAAGAGGACACACGACACAGAAAGAGGACACAACACACAAAAAGGACACAGGACTTAGAAAGAGGACACAAGATCCAGAAAGTGCACACAAGACAAAGAGTATACAACACACACAAAGAGGATACAAGACACAGAGAAAATGGACACAAGACAAGAAGAGGACACAAGACACAAAAAGGACACAAGACACAGAAAGAGGACACAAGACACAAAAACAGAACACAAGACAGAAAGAGTATACAACAGACACAAAAAGGACACAAGACACAGAAAGAGGACACACGACAGAAAGAGGACAAAAGACATAGAAAGAGGACATAGGAAACACAAAAAGGACACAAGACAAGAAGAGGACACAAGACACACACAGAACACTAGACAGAGAAAGTGGAAACAAGACACACAATCAGGATTAACACACACAAAGAGGACACAAGACACACATGAATCAAGCAATCCACAAAACAAGAAATATAAAAACAATACAACTCACAGTTAAATTGCTAATCTCCTCCTCCACGACCCGAATTCTGTTAAACCTAAGGAATAAAGTCGTCAGCGAGCGCAGCTTGTAGACAACTGCTGGGATCTGTCGACAACAACCAAATCTACAGATTGAAACATTCACACACACAAACAGCACCTAAAGTAGTGATTAAAAAAAAAAAACAGCAGTTGAAAAAATACATAAGGATAAAGTTGTGTATCCTTTAGAGAACATTGCAAACAGACCCAAGCACTTGCCTATTTGCAGTTTTTACCAGGCATAATACGTTTAGCACTTGGCCACTAATTTAGCAACACAAAGACAAAACAGCTTGAAAAACCTAGGGTGAACCACCGGAAAGCAAGCTACAGTAACAATTCTGAGATCACGCATCTTTTCCATGGCAACTTACACATGTCAACCATGGACTCTCAATCAATGAAGATGAAAATCAAGAGCTTTTGAACTGAAAATACTACAGAAAAATTCTTAGAATGCTGTGGAGCAAGAAGAAGAAAAACACTGACATCCTACATGATCAGAAAGTTGAGAAAAACAGGCATAGCAAACAGCAATCTCTCCTGAAAGCTGAGGTATTTTGGCTATGTTGAGTCCCAAAGATCGCATCACATGCTATCAATTACTACCCAGGTGGCCAATCAGCATGTAACACATTCAGGTTTTTAATTGACAACTGGCAAGTAAAACAAAGCAAACAGGCAGTTCTCAATGGTATTTCCTCTTCAATGTGTTTGATGTCACACGTGGTGACCATTAGGAATATTCAAAAACATGGTTACATGCATCAAATGGAGCATTCTTGTGAGTTTTAGCCAGTTACTAAGTGTCTGTATAAAAACAATAAGGCCCTGAGCAGATTTCTTTATGCATGCCAACAAGATTTATGACTTTAGAACATCATATTTAAATAAAGCTAGACAAAAAAGAGTTGCAAAGTAGACTTGTTTCAGTCACTGATAGAGTCAAACCTTTGACGACGGACAGCTCTAATATATACCTCAAACAGAGCCTTCAACAACAAAGTCAGCTGGTACAAATAAAATAAATGTTACCGAAAAGACGATATTCTTCGGTGTCAGGTCTAGGGTGATTCCCTTATTATTTGGGAACTTGGCTAAAACAATTAGGGGCAAATTGAGTTTTATATAAAGTTTACTTTTGTGAAAATAATGCCTTTTCTGAGGTTTTTTCTCTTTCTAAAAAAATTATTTGCTCTGTTATGATGTTCTTAAAGTTTCTCTGTAATGAGATCTAATACACACTGTGTTTATATTTTATTTATGCATTACTAAGTGGTTCATGTTAATTTGTGATTCATTCTAGACATATTTTATGAAGTTTTCCTTGAGTGTTATGGTGGGAGGTGGAAACATGATTATTTACTAACTACTCTAAACATACAATCTGTTTATTTACTAATAATTAACTACTAACACAATTTATTTTTCTAGCAATATTCTAATATTTGTCTGCATCTGAGGCATTGGGAACATGCTTGGTAATGCCAGGTTCGACAGTGGTATCGAGAAGCCAACTGTCCAGAAAGCAATGGCAAACTACTACTGGACATAAACTTGCCTAGAGAAACCACAACAGCCAAAAAATGCTGGGGTTGGTTCTGCAACGTCCTGTAAAGGATAAGCAACTAACTTCTTCTATTATAATATTACTCCTCAACTATCTCTGGTCACTTTGATGTAGAATATGTGTACGTTGCTCGGCCGTTAAATTAGTTGGTCTGTTTTAATTTGTAACACTTGTGAAATTTCAAAACTGCGTTACCGCCCCTTTGTTCTCTGATGCTAAACCCACTGGGACTCAAAGAGTTAAGTGCAATGGTGGCCTGGATAGAACTGTGATGGAGGGTGCTATTTCAGGAAAACAAGGCACAGCCACATCTCCATGAAGGTGCACACAAGATATTGAAGCTGCATGAGCTATGAAAGCAAATAGGACTGGAGAATTGGCACGAGAGAGAGAGAGATAGAGAGAGAGAGAGAGAGAGAGAGAGAGAGAGAGAGAGAGAGAGAGAGAGAGAGAGAGAGAGAGAGAGAGAGAGAGAGAGAGAGACTTTTAAGCCTGCCATAACCCCAGCAGCATTCTGTAAAGTACCCGCTGATTCCTGGTGAATTTGCCATTGCTTTTTGAACAGCTGGCACATTTGGCAGCTGCTTACCCCATCACTTGCATTCTGTGCACATGGATGGAGCTAGATGAGATACAATCTGGCACAATTAAACTGATCCTCAACCTTTTCATCTAATGTTCTACTGTGACAGAATGCAGCTGCTAAATTACCATAATCAGGGTTCATAGCCAAATTTACCAATCAATTTCAAGATCTTCTTAGTTTTTTTAAGGTTATCTTGGTGTAGTACTGAAACAAGATCTTTGCCTTGTTCAAGGGTGTACCGAGCACACAAGGTACTTCATTCGCGCCACACCTGTGGATATACCAGCACAGATATCATCATCATTATGTAGCAGGTCCTTTGCAGAACGTTGCTCTTATCACAGTCTGCCTAAAAAAACAACTCGCCAGCTCTCTCACCTCATGTACTTTCATACTGAAGGAATCACTTATACCCTGTACCCATCTTCGTGTTGGTCGGCCTCTGCACCTCCTTCCTGGTACCATGCCTTCTGCCATTATTTTTTCCAATCCATCGTGGCGCTTTATATAGTGTTTTTAAATTATTATTTTTTTGTAGACTTAGTGGTAGAGGGGAGCAAACTGAAGCTTGATGCATGGGCAATATATGGTCTCTACAACAGTGCCCAGGCTTTGTGCTATGGAGAAGATAAAGGAGGGCTGTCTTGCTAGTCACACTCGCCATCGCCTATTGAGTCCCATGCCTCCTCATAGCGCAATATAACACTATCATCTGGAAAAATGGAAAGGTGCCAAACATGTGCAGGACATCCACACACACACAACTTCTCACCTCTTGTAACTTGTTGTGCCTGAGATCCAGCACCCGTAGTTTGGTCAGTGAGGCAAACGACTCTGGCAGGCTGGATATAGAGTTCTCACTCAATGCCAGCGTCATGAGCCCAGTCAGTAATCCAATCTCTGGTGGCAGGTGGGTGAGTCGGTTGCTGTAGAGGTACAACTCTGTCAGCTGGGTCAGCTCTTTGATGCTGGTCGGCAGCATAGAAATCTGTTGGAATCAATGAATAAATGCATGACTGAATGCATGCATGCCTGAATGCACAAATGAATGACTGAATGCATGCATGAAACCACAGCACTCAAGAATTTATAACTTGTGTTTTAACCTCCATACTAATTCTTCTTAGCATGCACCAGCTGTAAGCTCAGGTGGAAAGCTGGTTGTTCATCCACCCCTCGACTTTGGTCTTGATCCAGAATTTTGAGGTTTGTGTGCACAGAAGTTTTACAGATGTGGCTTATCTGTATGCAGACTGTTGGTTCCTTTCCTCTCAGGCAGATGCACTCTGACTTTGAAGGAAACAGCCTAACTAGTTACATTCTTGTTAAGGAGGTAGTGGATCTATTCTTTCTTCTCCAAAATGGAGCCTCGGAATCCTCATGAGCAGGTCCATATTAATTGGGTCGGTTCATAATCATTACCATGCTATGTTTTGCCTTTCCCAAAATCACCAATCAGGTAAGTGTTCTTGTCTGGCCTCCCCATCCACATGGCTAAGACATCCTAGTATTTATCTCTTCACTTTTCCTTTATTTTTTTCCCCATCAATCATACCGGTCATCACTAAGTTCTTGAGTCCACACATTCTCACAACATACCAGAAAAACACATTCTTCATATCTAACCACTCTAATCCCTGTATGGTTTCCAGTGGTATCGTGGATGACGGCCCAAGGTCTAATGTCTGCATTCAGCTGGCAGGTGTCTTTATGCTTCACTGGTGAATAAATGATAGAAAATGAAAAATAATATTCTAACCTGCATACATCTTTTCATTATTTAATGAATGCATGGCAGTGAATCTTGGAATGTGAGCAAACAAATTAAAAAGAGTTTGGAGGCAGCTGAGATTTGGTTCTTGAGAATGTTGCGAATACCTTGGAGTGCCAGAATAACTAACAATGGTTGCCTGGAAATGGCTAACGAAAGTAGAAAGATTACGTACAACAATGAGGAGACAAACAATATTCTTTGGTCATGTGATGAGAAAAAGAGCACTGAGGCCGACCAAGAGAAATGGTGCTGGATGGCTGAAGACAGTGAATGGAGGAATATCCTCAGTGGAACCGATCCACAACACCAAAGACCGAGATCTGTGGAGACGCATGAAGTGCCAGCCAGCTGGCAAAGCACTTGATGATGATGATGCATATTTCACCTGGGATTTACTGAGATCCAATCGTGTTGCACCTTCTTCTTTACATTTCTTGAATTCTTTTGCAACATCCTGATTAATAAAAATAGGAAAATCAATATTTAGTTTCCATCACAAACAGGAAAATTGATACACTGTGTCCGTAAAGTCACGGTGCACCACCACATAGGAATGTACATCATCACTTTACGGGCATAGGGTATTTACTTTCTCATCTCATAATAAACATATACAGCCTATATTTTTATTTTCTTCCATACAACAGCCTTGTTTTAAATGTTAACCATTTTGCCCCCAAGATACAGATAGTAAACCCCCCCCCCCCCCCCACAGAAAGCCTTAAATCAACACTGCTGACTTGGCCTAGTTAATGGTACTGGTTCTGTTTGCACCTGTGCAGTGGTTAGAAGGGGCCAGATATGATTATTTTTCTAACATAAAGCATGGAAGGCCAGAGTGGGGAAAAAAATAGCATTTAAAAAATGATTCTCATGGTTTGCTCTAGCCACTGCCATGCTACAGAGGTTACTGTTCATTCACCGTACACTGGACATGACAATAAGTGCTCTGATCTCCTCCTGAGTATGTCTCCCATTCTGTTCTGGTTGATGTCATCACAGGTGGCTCCCGCATAGTTTTCCTGTCTCGCGGCTTCAACTGGTACACCCAGGGTATGCAGTCTATTCAGTGAAAGGTCATTTTCCAGGAAACTGAAAGCTTCACAGCGTTTAGTCTCTCATATGGCATTGATGATGACTCTCCAGTCCACTGAGAGCCCATTCCTGATAGTCACACTGCGTCCCAGGGTGTCTGCTCCCTCACTGCCTTTCACACCAACATACCCTGGGGGAACAAATGAAGGTGATTCTGCCAAATGCCACATACACTTGTTTAGGCCCACCAAGGAAATGTTGTCAGTCAAACTCTCCGCTTTGCTCATGTTTGCTGATAATTTCCAGTCATATATAAACTTTTTTTTTTAAGTTGAAAGATATATATATATTGATACATTTCTAAACAAAAACAAAACCAAAAATTTTTTTAAATAGTGGCATATTTCAAATGGTCATTTTTTTTTAAATTCACATGTACTGACACTTCCCCATCTGGTTCAGGGCACCATGTGTTTCGCTGAAACCAAATGTGTTAGGTTAAAAGGTGGCGATATCTCAGCCTAGCTGTATACTGCAACACAAATGTACCTACCACCCCTCACAGAAAAAGACATATAGACTTGACGAATCAATGCAAGGTAACTCACTACAAGATGACATCAGGAGTTATTAACAAAATTAAAATGTCTGCATTGAAGATTGACATAATCAGGAAAGAGCAATTAGATGATCATTAATCAACACAGCATCAGCACAATTAGTCGTGGTCAGACAGGTTTATTACAGAGCTCCTGGCTGTACTTACGGACACCTTCAGTCTTAGTTACCAGGGGAATTCCAGAAGAAACAACCCGACTTTTATGTCTTCCAAACTGTTTGTGCAAAATGTATGACATTCAATAACAATATTCTTTTTCTTCTGTTACATTCCTTCTTAAAAAAAAAGAGATTGGTAGGTTGTGTTGTGGTTTGGTTACAGCTAGACCTTTCAACTCAAAATTCAATGACAATATTCTTTTTCTTCTGTTACATTCCTTCTTAAAAAAGGAGGTTGGTAGGCCGTGTTGTGGTTTGGTTACAGCTAGACCTTTCAACTCAAAACATCTAATCAACAAACACCTAATTAGTCGCCTTTTAAGACAGCTTGCTAAGGGGCGGTGGGCCTATTCTCTACCCCCCCCCCCCCCCAATCCCCTAAAAAAAGGGCTCAGAACTGACACTAGAACACTGACAATATCTCTCATTATGTCCTTTGATCATTCTAATTTCCTGTGTGTGGTCTCCAGGCATGGCACCCGCCTCAAGTGCTACATGTCCCGGGTTCAAGCCCTGGTGAAGGCTGGGATTTTTTTCATGTGGCCTTCCACTAATTTCCCCTGGTCTCTGGGTAGTAAGATTCAACGCCTGTATGTACTGTTACACTAGAAAGAAAAAAATCCCCTGGCAGCTGTAAATTGAAAAGAGTAGCCTAACGGTGCTGCAGAGTTTGTGAACTGCGCTAAGATTCTTTAGACTCAGGCTTGAGTTAGAAGTAGAACGGAGCATTAATGGCTACTAGCCTTGTGTCATGATGTTGATCCGTCGCTGAAACCTTAAACATGTACAACTACTTTCTCTTCTTTGTGTTCACTGGTTGTAAACTCCGGTGGAAAGCTCTGGTTTTTCATCCACTTCTGAACTTTGGTCTTGTTCCAGCTATCTGTGTGCAGACTGTTGGTTACTTGCTTCTCAGAAAGATGCACTCTGACTCTGAACGAAACATCCCTAATTAGTTGGCTTTTATGTTATGCTATTTGAGGGAAAGGGGCAGTGGGTCTGTTATGTGCTTGGGTGGAGCTGGGAGTTCCTCTCTAGTTCCATACAGCTTTGAGTATGGTGCTCACTATGCCAGTACTCCCTTTTTAATGGTCTGTTCAATGGATATTCTGGGAGGTCAGCCCACAAGGACACAGTCAGGAACTACTCAAATGGAACCTGTACTTATTCTTAAGTTTGTTATACGCAGTCTTTGAGGTGAAGAATCTTCTTCTTCATGGCTATCGGCTGTTGATTTCTGGCCTCTCAGGCAGATACACAACCCAGTCTTTGAGGTGAAGAATCTTCTTCGTGGTATCGTCTGTTGGTTTCTGGCCTCTCAGGCAGATACACAACCCAGTCTTTGAGGTGAAGAATCTTCTTCGTGGTATCGGCTGTTGGTTTCTGGCCTCTCAGGCAGATACACAACCCAGTCTTTGAGGTGAAGAATCTTCTTCGTGGTATCGGCTGTTGGTTTCTGGCCTCTCAGGTAGATACACAACCCAGTCTTTGAGGTGAAAAATCTTCTTCATGGCTATCGGCTGTTGATTTCTGGCCTCTCAGGCAGATACACAACCCAGTCTTTGAGGTGAAGAATCTTCTTCGTGGCTGTCAGCTGTTGGTTTCTGGCCTCTCAGGCAGATACAGGACTTTGATTTAAACATCCCTAATCAGTACTCTCACCACACGCCTGTTGGAAGGGGGGGGGGGCATTTGGTCTATTCTGTCCTCCTCCCTCTCCCCCCCCCCACACACAATGGGGTCCAGAAACCCACACAGGGATGATGATCAGTCCATGCTGGTGAAGTAAGTGGTACTCATTACTGACCTTATTCTGTTCCCTTATATTAGACAGAATGGTCCTTTTCTCCCAAATTAAGTAACTTCTGTTCTTTAGGATCTTGGCCACCAATGTGGACATCTGCCAGCTCTGCTGTCTATACCCTCTTCCTGTTGCTCATGACTCATAAGGCCTTCATAAGTGATCTCTATTGTTGCCAGTCTGCTGTTTTTTACCCATAGTACCCCTTGTCATTTGACACTCCATTTGCCTTTCTACCATCCTCCTCCAGGTTTCTTTAGGTCATCCACGTTTCCTTTTATCCATCTGCCATCCGGTGGAAACCTGTTCTTGCCAAAGTATCACAAAGAATTCTGTGAACATGTCCAAGCCATCTGCATTTTTTAAGATAATGCCAATCATGAACATTTCTGTCTCCTTTCATGATCTTGTTTCAGCAAAATATTGGCAGAAATTTCTGGAGACATTTACTCTACAAAAAGTCTAGTTTATGTCTAACTCCAAACACTCTCAGTTATGCATGCTCTGCTACAAGTGATTAAATCATCTGTTTGTGTGACAAACACTCACTGTTATGCATGTTCTGCTACAAGTGATTAAATCATCTGTTTGTGTCACAAATACTCGCACAGCGCCCTGGTAAGCACAGAATCAAGAGTTCATTTCCTAGATCACAACCTCGTAAGTGGTCCCTGCACGAGTCGTGTCGCTGGCAGTGCCAGGCAACAAGGTGTTGTAACAACTTGCCAGGGCAAAGTGCACAATGTTGTTGTATGCTTAAATAGGGATGTGGTTTTTAATCTCGACCGATGTAAGTAAAAGTAAAGGACCCTTTTCCAACACCTTCAGGTGTATTGGGCACATAGGGCTAGACCTATATTTTTAGAAAAATTGGCACCTGCTGAATAATGTGGTCAACATCATGCCGGTCACCTTTACTTCCCAGGACCCACTCAAGGCTGGGTCTACCTGGAAGTTAAAGTCAATTCTGAAGAAACCCCGGTTCTGACAGGACCCTAACCCAGGACCTTCTGTTGCACATGCAAGCGTCTTGCTGCTACACCACAGCGACTCCCTTAGACTGATGCGCAACAATGACATTCATACTATATTTAAATCACCATTAATAACTGGCACCATGAAGGCTAACAGACGGCAGTGTTTGCGACATACAGAGAGAACTGAAGATACAACAGACCCAAAACAAAAAGAACTGAATGATAGTAGACCCTGAGACAGACCAAGAAAGTGGAGAGTGAATATCTATGCTGACCTACAATCACCTCAAGTCGCCAAAGGTAAAGAGATGAATGGAGGCAGGTAATATCTACAGCAATGAGTTTCAGGGCTTGGAATGCAGAAGAAGGAGAAGAGGAGGAGGAGGAGGAGGAAGAAAAAGGAGAAGAAGAAGAAGAAGAAGAAGAAGAAGAAAGGAGATGTGGTCTAGATTTTTAAATTTTATGCAGGACGAGCGACTGATGAAGAGGTTGCATATTGGAGTGCACAAAGGACAGGAGGATGGAGACGGAAGAGGTATAAAGAAGACACCTGTTTAAAAAAAAACACTTACCAAATCTGCCTTGACAGATGGCCTCTGTGGGACACATGGCTTGGCCTTGCTCTGTCCAGGCATGGTAACAGACACCTGTTTTTTCCCCGAGATGGGGTCGATCGCCAGCGAGGACATGCTACTTTTCTTGTCCTGCAACTTATACAAATAGAAACCAACTGACAACGTGATTTCTATACTTTTCTTGTCCTGCAACTTATTAAAACAGAAACCAGCTGACAACGTGATTTCTATACTTTTCTTGTCCTGCAACTTATACAAACAGAAACCAGCTGACAATGTAATTTTTATACTTTTCTTGTTCTGCAACTTAAACAAACAGAAACCAGCTGACAACGTGATTTCTATACTTTTCTTGTCCTGCAACTTATACAAACAGAAACCAGCTGACAACGTAATTTTTATACTTTTCTTGTCCTGCAGCTTACACAAACAGAAACCAGCTGACAACGTGATTTCTATACTTTTCTTGTCCTGCAACTTATACAAACAGAAACCAACTGACAACGTGATTTTTATACTTTTCTTGTCCTGCAACTTATACAAACAGAAACCAGCTGACAATGTGATTTTTATACTTTTCTTGTCCTGCAACTTATACAAACAGAAACCAGCTGACAACGTGATTTTTCAACCGCAAAAAAATTACAAAATTAAACTTGTGAATTCATTGTGAGAAAGCCCTTCCGATGGCTAGAGAGCAGCACAGAACAGGTTTGAGGTTTGAAAAGATCAACATCCTGGCATACGGGTAGTAACCCATAAGTGCTCCGTTCTTCTTCCAACTCAAGTCTGAGTTTGAAGAAGTTTAGCATAGTGCACACGCTCTGTAGCACCAGCAAGGATCCTGAAATACTTTGGGTGGATTTTTAACTCCAAATTTTGCCCGGGTAGGAGGGAAGCTACCACAGGTAGGTAGATAGTACTGCTCCTTTGATCAGAGAGCTTCTGCAGCCAAACGTTCTAGGTTTACTTTTCCTTTGGAGTAAACAAGGCAGGCAGAGAAAAAAATCACACTGCATGGGCAGCACATGGTCTCTAACATACTGCTAGGATCTGTGCTATGGAGAAGAAGTTCATCTTCATGCTCTAACAGTGATGCCAGAGGGTCCTGCTAGTCACACTCGCCATCACCGGCGGGCTGTGATTTCCATGCCTCCTGATAGCACTATACAACACTCAAGTCTAGAAAGAGAAAAAGGTGTCAGTCAGCTAGGGCCAGACCAAATGATCTGGCAGGTCCTCTGGGTCTAATGTTTCCCACCCTGGCCTTAAAACTATTAAATGTCTCACCTTATCTCGGTCTCCATCTTTGAAGCCTAGCGTCTCAATACCAGCCTCCAAATCATCATCCTCCTGACCAAAAGCTCCTCTGTCATACTCTGGTGAGTCATCTGCAATCGACAAAGGAGACTGCCCGACACAGGTTTCTCCGCCTTTCCAATCAGCTAGCCTTTCGGCTGCTGCAGGGTTTTCCCGCGACTTGCTCGGTTTTCTTGACATGTTTATGCAATGCTAGTTTGTCCCAAATGTCACATATTATAACCTCATATGATATAAATCTCACATATTATAGACTAACATCCCCACATAATGATTCTTCACAGTTGTTCTCACAGACATCAATTGTCAGGTTTACAGTGATGGGAACACCGTGTTGAAAGGTAGGTTAATGCAGATGTCTTCTCTGTGTATGGCTTATCCAGTGTTCAACAACCTGAAAATTACAAAATTAAAATTATACTCAAACCAATCGTTTTCTGTAGTAAACTTAAATAATGTGGATAAAAACAATAAACTGACAAAAGAATGGATGGATACACCAGTAGACATGCATGACTTGTCTAAGGTTGTCATAACGCTAGGGAGGTACTGCATGAAATCATTTACACAGATGGGTCGGTGAAGCACAATCAAGATTGGCACGAACATACGCGGCACAAAGGATGGAGAAAAAGAGGACAGCGGTGCTTAACAGAGAACTAGGTCAAGCATGATCAGGGATATAACTGCTGCTTCCAGAGCACTCACATGGGTAGAAGAAAAGTCACCACACATGTGATAATTGTTTCAGACTATGAATGTGCATCATAAAATTGCTACAGGGAGTCTACGCTTCAAATGGGTAGAAAGCATTTGAAAGTCGCAGTTAACCTCCATCATCTGGGCATGTAGGAGTAAATGGTAATGAAAGAGCTGACCAGCTTGCAAGTAATGCACCAATGCAAATGGGAAGAAACATGGACCGGGCTGATATTACCAACGCTGTACGGACTAGGCTGGGGGATAATGGCAAATCTTTGATACTAACATGACTGCGTGACCGAGGAGTTAAGCTTGGTGAAGCACGTCTAGGTCGTCTACGAGGTAAAGACAGGAGATACCCCCATAGGAACAATCAGTAGAGGTTTCTTGGAGTGGCTGCTGCATCAGAGGACTGAGCATGCATGGGGATTCGCAATGTGTAAAGACGGTGATTGTGATAACATAACATTACTATCACATTTCTGGTCTAAATTGGAGGATTAGGCATGGTAGAAGGTTGTTAGAAGTTGCTTATGACAGCGCTTTGCTAATGCAGTTTCCACATATAGATGGTAGTCTACAGTTTTGCTGCCTGAGCTATTGAGTTTAGTGCTTGCTGCAGCCCTGTGAGATGTGGGATGTCTTTCATGTGTGCAGCGGTTGTGTCATGATTTTCAACATGGCCGCTAGCCAGTTTACGTATGAGCTGGTGAAATACCTTATATAATAATTCTGTGTGTGTATAGCATACTTGTATGGCAGACTGCTTCCATCAACGACAAACTGTTATGTGTACAGCATACTTGTATGGCAGACTGCTTCCATCAACGACAAACTGTTATGTGTATAGCAAACTTGTATGGCAGACTGCTTCCATCAACGACAAACTGTTATGTGTATAGCATACTTCTATGGCAGACTGCTTCCATCAACGACAAACTGTTATGTGTATAGCAAACTTGTATGGCAGACTGCTTCCATCAACGACAAACTGTTATGTGTATAGCATACTTGTATGGCAGACTGCTTCCATCAACGACAAACTGTTATGTGTATAGCAAACTTGTATGGCAGACTGCTTCCATCAACAACAAACTGTTATGTGTATAGCAAACTTGTATGGCAGACTGCTTCCATCAACGACAAACTGTTATGTGTATAGCATACTTGTATGGCAGACTGCTTCCATCAACGACAAACTGTTATGTGTATAGCAAACTTGAATGGCAGACTGCTTCTATCAACGACAAACTGTTATGTGTATAGCAAACTTGTATGGCAGACTGCTTCCATCAATGACAAACTGTTATGTGTATAGCATACTTGTATGGCAGACTGCTTCCATCAACGACAAACTGTTATGTGTATAGCAAACTTGAATGGCAGACTGCTTCCATCAACGACAAACTGTTATGTGTATAGCAAACTTGTATGGCAGACTGCTTCCATCAACGACAAACTGTTATGTGTATAGCATACTTGTATGGCAGACTGCTTCCATCAACGACAAACTGTTATGTGTATAGCAAACTTGTGTGGCAGACTACTTCCATCAACAATTAGCTACGCAGTGATCTCTGTCTCCATCTCTCTCTTTCTGTCTACGCCGATTTATGCATGTATTTGCTGAGCTGTTAATAATTATTATTTGTCATTGCTAGTGTATTACTATTGTTAGAACCTAGAAAATGTGAATGCAACCCCTGGGGCTTGCAGAATACATTCTTCAAGCAATGTTACCCTACCAAAAAGTATGCATCTCTTTCAGAAACCGTGCCTTGGGTGCACCTTTCTATGGCAGTCCTTTATTACAGCCAACTTGCTGTCACAGCAGGGACTGTATCTGATCTGACTGAGCCATTTGAATTTACTGTCCCCTTCTTGGAGCCAGTAATGCCAACCTTGTGTGCATAGGGAATTCCCTGTGTCAGTGTCTTACATATCATTCGGTCATGATTCTTCCCTTGTCTCACTCTCTCCCTCTACCGATATATATATATATATATATACTTATATAAATATGTAGTCATGTGTGCTGCACCAGCAAGCAAGCGGGTGGCAGGTAATGAGTGTATGTATGTGTGTGTGTGTGTGTGTTAACTACTGCGCGTTTGAGTATGCGTGCTGAATTTTAGTAATACAGTGAGATAGTATTTTGGCTATGGGACACCAGTAGCACACATATATCTTCGTGTAGGGAGTCGGCAGTCCGAAACCCAAGTTCAAGGTGTCTTCTTCATGCCAAAGAACTGCATGGCTGTTGGGTGAACAGTCGTTAACGAAGGCAGTCAGGTTGTTGTTGGGGCGACGCTTGCTGGTGGATGTAATGTCCTAAATCACTTCCCCAGCTAATAGTGGGGTACTGCTGGGGTGACAGTTTATTAACCCTTACATAATGCTTCAGGTCCAAATGAACACTAGGCACTGCCACTGTTTTGAGCCGGGGCAAAATTTTTTTTGCTTCTGCCAGACTGTGGCCGTTGCTTTTTTTGCTCCATTTGTAGACTGGAAGTATATAGTTTCGTTACCCAGCTTCTGAGTTGAGTGCATTGCGTGACACTGTGAGCTGCGGATTTCATTTCGAATGTTTTTCGACTGACCAACGGGGTGGTGTGATTTGTAGATTCAGAAAATGGTGCGATGCCGGTTGTCGCAATATTGGTGGGGGCCATTATTTTATTAAAATTGATCACGTGAGCAACTGCTGATCTTTTGGTGACTTCTGCTACCATCAATGATGAACTGCATTTCTAACGTCAGACTGTTTGTGTTAGCACTTCCTATGGATACCATATGCTTTTAATGCGAGTGTATGCTAGATTTGCTGAGACAGCAGTTTGTCAGTCTTTCCACAATGGACTGTGATAAACATTCTGTGTGTTTTTCGTTGGCACAGGAGCGGAGCAAAGATGGGGTGACCCGTTTGCTATGAAGCTGAAATTAAAATTACCAGATGTGTATAGCAAACTTGTATGGCAGACTGCTTTCATCAACGACAAACTGTTATGTGTATAGCAAACTTGTATGGCAGACTGCTTCCATCAACGACAAAAACTGTTATGTGTATAGCAAACTTGAATGGCAGACTGCTTCTATCAACGACAAACTGTTATGTGTATAGCAAACTTGTATGGCAGACTGCTTTCATCAACGACAAAAACTGTTATGTGTATAGCAAACTTGTATGGCAGACTGCTTCCATCAAGGACAAACTGTTATGTGTATAGCAAACTTGAATGGCAGACTGCTTCTATCAACGACAAACTGTTATGTGTATAGCAAACTTGTATGGCAGACTGCTTCTATCAACGACAAACTGTTATGTGTATAGCATACTTGTATGGCAGACTGCTTCCATCAACGACAAACTGTTATGTGTATAGCAAACTTGTATGGCAGACTGCTTTCATCAACGACAAACTGTTAGGTGTATAGCAAACTTGTATGGCAGACTGCTTCCATCAACGACAAACTGTTATGTGTATAGCATACTTGTATGGCAGACTGCTTCCATCAATGACAAACTGTTATGTGTATAGCATACTTGTATGGCAGACTGCTTCCATCAACGACAAACTGTTATGTGTATAGCAAACTTGAATGGCAGACTGCTTCCATCAACGACAAACTGTTATGTGTATAGCAAACTTGTATGGCAGACTGCTTCCATCAACGACAAACTGTTATGTGTATAGCATACTTGTATGGCAGACTGCTTCCATCAACGACAAACTGTTATGTGTATAGCAAACTTGTGTGGCAGACTACTTCCATCAACAATTAGCTACGCAGTGATCTCTGTCTCCATCTCTCTCTTTCTGTCTACGCCGATTTATGCATGTATTTGCTGAGCTGTTAATAATTATTATTTGTCATTGCTAGTGTATTACTATTGTTAGAACCTAGAAAATGTGAATGCAACCCCTGGGGCTTGCAGAATACATTCTTCAAGCAATGTTACCCTACCAAAAAAAGTATGCATCTCTTTCAGAAACCGTGCCTTGGGTGCACCTTTCTATGGCAGTCCTTTATTACAGCCAACTTGCTGTCACAGCAGGGACTGTATCTGATCTGACTGAGCCATTTGAATTTACTGTCCCCTTCTTGGAGCCAGTAATGCCAACCTTGTGTGCATAGGGAATTCCCTGTGTCAGTGTCTTACATATCATTCGGTCATGATTCTTCCCTTGTCTCACTCTCTCCCGATATATATATATATATATATACTTATATAAATATGTAGTCATGTGTGCTGCACCAGCAAGCAAGCGGGTGGCAGGTAATGAGTGTATGTATGTGTGTGTGTGTGTGTGTGTTAACTACTGCGCGTTTGAGTATGCGTGCTGAATTTTAGTAATACAGTGAGATAGTATTTTGGCTATGGGACACCAGTAGCACACATATATCTTCGTGTAGGGAGTCGGCAGTCCGAAACCCAAGTTCAAGGTGTCTTCTTCATGCCAAAGAACTGCATGGCT